GTTGTTTAATTTGTGTGTGTGTGTGTCACTTTCTTTTGGCCAACCCTCACAAAAAGTGAGTATGCGGTTAGGAGGTTCAATTCTTGGAACGGCCGCAATATGGTTTGTGGACGTCAATCCCACAGTGGGACCTATGCACATTATATCCACCAAGCCCACGAATCAACAGTCACATCCGTGTATGGGTTTGAACTCCCACATGAGTGATTTCCTTTTGGTTTCCCTTGTAACCAGCGCCACCCTACAAAGGGTGCAAAAGCACACATACACACCCGATCAATTAAAACGCCAGAAAGGGAAATTATCCGAGCCTAAACGGGTTCCTACATTTGCCTTTTGAGCCGTGTTTGGTTTCGGCGGGAGTGATGTTCAAAGCGGAGATGTAGCGAGACAGGATTGGCTTCGAACACAAGCGCCAAACACAGGGAACATCATGTTGAGAAAAAGAACGATGGTTGAGGAAAATGCGGAATTTGGAGTGAGCCCACTTGCAACGGTTGTCGAAATTGCCGATTACAATTGGTTGAAAGTAGATGGCACAATTCCCAAATATAGTCATCCCCTTCACTGACCCAAACCAGTCATCTACTTTTACTCTACCCTGGTATAAAGGGTCTAAAACTATCCAATAGGGTTCCCTCATCAGAGTCCCCATTTGGCAGTGGGTCAGAACCAATGGTACCATTTTGGGGTAGGTGCACCACCCAATGTAGTCTATTTGAGTCGGGATTGGGATGTTCACTGGGGGTACGGGGTTTTGACCCATGGCCATTTGTCAAGGACCCGGTTTGACAAACTGTAAAAGACACACTCACCAATGCAGGTCCTTAATTGGGGACCTCTTCCTATCTCGCGTCTGCCAAAAAGCGTGGCTTCAGTCCGCACGTGAGTCAAAACAGGGGGTTTCCCAGCATGTCCAGAATCGCTATGTTCTTTTTGTGAGGGTACCAGTTCCGGAGTGGTTTTAAATGGACACCAACGGAAACCGAAGCCATTGTCCATCCAAGCGGCTTGTGCAAGAGGGTCACGGTTGAAGTGCCATGCGGTTTGTTTGTCTCGTTGGCTTTGCAGCAGTGTCGAGCCCTTTTGAGTGGAAGAGACATCAGCCGTTTGCAAGTTGCGTGCCTTTTAACAGTCTTTTTTCTCTGAATCCTGCGGGACCAACAAAAAGGGTTGGTTGGTTGGTTCGCCAAAACTTGCCTTATCAGCCAACTACTGTAAACAGGGGAACCGACAACTAAACATCAAATCAGACCAAACAAACAAACATCCAATCAAAACATGATTCTTCAAAGAAATCCACCAACCAACAACGATTCAAGAAACAAGCCTTCAAACAAACAGACAAACCAACAAACACGAAGCACGAAACAACACGAGGCACCTCACGTCTCCAAGCTTAGGAAACCTGGGCATACCTGCAGACGCTTCTGGGCAAAAGGCCTGGGACAAGTCCTGGCACCGGGTGAAACCGGCGAGAGGGCCAATTCTTTGCCCTCCCAAAAAGAAACATAGAACCTGCACAGGGGTTCCCTGGAAGACCATTTTGCTTTCACGGGGACCTCTGTGCAGGCGTGGCTGTTGGGAGGGTTGCACTGGTTGTTTGGATTGGGGAGTTGAGGGGTTCATGTTGGAGATTTTATACAAGGGCGAGAACGGTTTCATGATAGCTGGCAAAAAATAAACCACTTGCCATCCCCAGCAACCCCTTTGCACGCTCCAGACCACTGCGCTGTTGTGGGCACTCTGCTCTATAGCCTTCAGCAGTGGCCCGTTCTCAATACTTCCTTTCCAGCGCGATCCCATGGACTGTCTTACAGGTGTAAGGATTGTTTCAGTACCAAGTCTCGGGAGGAGTGGCATAACTCCTGAAAGCGCAGATCTGAGCCACTCTTGGGGGTTGTCGAAACGGGGGGAAACCTTCCATGCCAAGAAATGTTGCGCAGGATTGCAGGATTGCGCCTCAAAGAGTCACTACTTGGCAGTTGGCGATGTTTCCTTCCCAATGTTCGATCACTGGCGGCTTGCTCAACTCAACATGGCCCGATGGGCGCTGGTCCCTAGCTCCGAGACCCCCGCACATGCTGAGCACCTAGACTTGTCTGGCTTTCCGGGCCACGATTGGGCTCAAAAAATATACTGACAACGGTACAAACTGAGAGCTGGCCCCTAAATCCCACTCTGGTGAACAACACAATTCGTTTTGCGGAGGTGAGAAATCACACGGCCGGGTGAAGGATGATGGATGCCTTCCATGGTGTTTTCTCGATCCTTTCCTTTCCGGATCCTTCAAAAGCAGCACTTGGTGCTTAGATGGTTGGTAGCGACTTGACTTGCTGTGGGGTCTCCGGTCTGATTCTTTGAAGGCCGGGGGAGTTTGGAACAGACTCTAAACATATGATGGCCCGCAGAATCTTGGTGCTTTCCGGGGTCCAAAACCCTGCCATGGCGATCCCTTCTCCTCAATGGAGGCCCTTTCTGACGCCTCTCTGCTAAGGGTGTATTTTGGGTGGCCGACCGAGGCTCCTTGGTGGCTCCCAGCCATCCGGTTCCTTAGCATTTTAGCCTTTTAGTGTTTAGTCGTAGTTTCCCATTTAAACCCACGCAAAAAGTTATTCACTTTTCCCGCGGGATCAGAAAACGGGCCCAGAGACGACTCCAATCCGCCCCGGATCCGTGCTCCGTCAGGTGGTGGGACGCTTACTGCTGGGAGTACTGGCGGTTTCTGGCGCCTCTTCCGCGAGAAGATGCGCTGGAGCAGCTTCGTCGCCTGCAGGCGCCGAGGGTTGGGAGCCTTCTTTGTTTTTTCCGTGGCCCGGCGGGGTGGGAACGGCCCGGTGTTTTTTTTTTTTGGTCTGGACTTCTCCCGTGCGGAAAACTGCAGGAATTAAGGCACCCCTGAATTGGCAGTTTGGATTGGTGGTTTGGGGGGGCTGAACCTCGGCTTTGGACGCCAAATCGGGACAGCCCTCCAAGGAGCAAAGCACCAAACCACCAAGTAGAAGAAAGGTGAACGGATGAATCCTTGGTGCAGATGGTCGTCTCAAAAACTTGAGATGGGTAAAGACACGCTGTGATGGTGATGTCTCCCAGATTCTGCCGCAGCTACTCTGCAAAGCTGGGCATGCAGCCAACAAGATGCTCCGGCGAGTGGCCTGCATGTGTTCCTTTTGTTTTGGGGCTGGCCAAGAACAGGGATGCCCATTCTGAGCTTGTCAGTTTCTGGCTAGCTTCTCGGGAGGACAACCCTTAAGAACTATGAACAGACGTAAACATTGGCAGAAGTATTGGCAGCAACTTCTGCTGTGGAGAAAGAATCGTTTGTTAAAGGCCAGGAAAAGGGACAGGTTTAATTCATCAGGCAGGATCTATTTTTCGGGGGTAAGCCTCACTGGTGAACAACTAATCTGAAGACAGAGAAAGAGACAGACAGAGACAGACAGAGACAGACAGAGAGAGAGAGAGAGAGAAAGAGAAAGAGAAAGAGAAGAGAAAGAGAAGAAAAAGTGACGGAGAGATACACAGTTGGCGGGGTCACCACGGCTCAAACAGGGTAACACCGCCCCAAATGGACGGCAACACGAGAGATAGAGAGAGAGAAAAGCAGAGTGACCAAGCTGATGGGCCCTGCGTATCGCAAAACTGGCCGGTACGTGAGGGCATTGTTGGTCATGCCTTGCATCTTTGGGCGAGGAATCGATATATCCCCCCTCCCCCCCGCCCTCCACAAATATGGAACCTCAAAAGTAATCCCCTAGTGGGTATGGGTGCTTCCCTGTAATCTGTCTCCTAGGATACATTCGGGCCAGAAAAGTCCACTACCAGCTGAAAAGGGAGCCCTGTGGTTAACGAACTGTGGGGTGATTTTCACATGGGACGTAGAGGACCTCGGCCCAAGCTACGGCAGGAGGCCGCCACAACAGAGGCTTGGTGGAAGCTGCCGGAGAACAGACCTGAGATCGCGAGCACCTCGGCTCACAAGCGAGCCGCGGCCCGTGTTCCCCGAACCTTTCAAAGACCTTCAAAAAACGGGGTAGAAAATTGGCATGGGGTTTGGGCCGTTCTTGCCATTATTGGAACCAACAGCTGATTTGGCAAACGCCTTTTGAGAGGGTTGGAACTGTTTTTGTCCCAGTTGTTGCACATTGTTGCAAGGTTGAAAACTCCCGTTTGCTTTGGAGTATGTTTCATTGCCCCTGCTGGTTTGAAAGGGGATCTATCACTACTGGAAGATGGTTTTTGGTTCCACTGGGCTTAGGGAAAGGAAGTGAGTGTTTGCCAACTGCAATGACTTCCATCGACCGTTGCCCTGGAGAAAGAAGGTTTGTCCACGAGAGCCTTCCCTTCAGAACAAGTTCGCCATGTAGCTGGGACCTTTGTGTTGGACGGAGGTCTCCAAGTGGCAGGGTTGTCCTTTTCGATTTCCCTGAGACTGACCTGAAAAGGGGAACCACCTAGGAAAAAAAACGCACATGTTGTGGATGGTTGCGAAATCCATTTCGCACCACCATTCGGAAACCCTGGTTTCTGATTCGATCCCCCAACAGAAATACCCTCGCACCAATGAACGTGGACCCTGACAGGGCGTTCCAAGACCATTTCCCTTGCAAAGGGACCCTCTGTCAGGTTCTATGTTAACTGGTGGGAGGGCCCAACAAGTTGGTTTCATTCCCATGGATTCATTTCGTGATGCGAGACGGAGTTCCCAACAAATCGCTCGAGGCATGCTGCGGGACCATGGCTTTTGCGCCCTGGATGCCTTCCTGCCCTCAGGCCAAACCGGCCGAAACCGCGGTCGAAAACGAGCGAGCAGTACTCGTAGGTGTTCTTCCATTTGCTGAAATGAATGTGTCTGTTTGATTTTCCCTTGTTGGTTTTTGAAGATAATTTATCACTTTGGGAAATATGTTTTTTTGTTTCCAAGCAAATGGAAGTTCTCCGTTCTCTGGCTAAGCCCATGCTTCAGTTTGCCAATTGCCCCAACGGACCGAAAGAGGATG